ACCTGCATTAGAAATTAGACTTCTTCATCTTCAAATGTGATATTACTTTTGTAGAGGGTGCGAACATTAATCAAATGTTTCCTAGGGGTATGGGGCATAGAAAAGGTTGGGAACCATTGCCCTAAGGGATGAACCCAACTGTTAGGACCTATTGTGATATGTATGCATCCAGTAAAGCAAAGATACCCTAGAGTGAAATTCAACTCCGGTGAGTGCATACAGTATGCTGTTTTCTTAGCGACAATCCCTGCCGTTTTCAACTTTGTTTTATACAAGTTTGTCCCACTGCAATCAGTTGACTCTTCATGGATTACAATGCCTAGTTATCTAGCCTACAGCATTAATATTCCCTGGTGGTCTCCAGTCCAAGTATTAATCAGACACGACACTGTTAGATAGCAACTGCCCTATGTTGTTTAATTTGCAATCACCTACTAATACAGACTGAAATAAGAAAGAGGGAAAGTAATTGAAGTAGGAGTGTACATCTCTTGCTTGTGGAGCTAAATTTCTTTCCTTCTCATCCTCCAGATTTTCCATCAATTCTCTCTGGCGAATTTTTGGGAGTGTTGGACACACAGCAAGCAGCATTAGAGGAAGGAGGCCAGCTGTGGAGTATAGAGGAATGGGAAGAGGCACCTGATCAATTCCAGCCATTCTGGGCAACACTGAAATCGCTTGGCAAACCTTGCCCAGCAGTCAAGGGCCACTTCCCTGGCACCCTCTTTCGCTTTCCTATTCGGCAGAGCCCCTCCAAGATCTCAGACACCATCTACAGTCCAGAACGGGTGCAGGAACTGCTGCATGCATTCTTAAATGATGCCCCCATAAGCTTGCTGTTTCTCAGGAACATCCAGAAACTGACCCTGGGCTTTGTTGGGTCTGATGGTGGCATCAATGAGCTGCTGAAGGCTGAGGTCTCAAGCTGTCCATTTTATGAGTCAAAGGCTATTCAAGATGTGTCAAAGGCTACAGAAGCATCTCTGAACCGTGGGAGGAACAGAAGGGTCTCGGAGATATTTGCTGATGACAGTCTTGGTTCCATGCTGGAGATCAATGCCTGCATCAAAACACTTGCTCTGCAAGGCACTGGGATTGGTAAAGCCACCAGGTGTGAGTGGCTCATGTTGTCAGCAGAAGCAAAAAAAGTTGCCTTCCCAGGACTGTGGGATCTTGCCGAGAAGGTGAGATCCAAGCCAGCATTATCCTTGGCCTACTGTTTGCAAGACAGATGCACTGGCCGCCTCAACTGCGTCTTGCCTCTCCCAGCCACAGAGGAAAATATCACTGGGTTGCCACTACACATCAGTGCTCCTTTTCAGCTCACCGATGACAGAAGGCACGTGCAGTGGTCTGAAGAGAGGTCCCAGGCACGGGGGGCTGATGGCCGTTGGAACCACTTACTTATGGAGGAGATACTGCCTGTTGCTTATTGCCAAATGGTAGCGCTGGCCTCTTTCTATCCGGGTGACCCATATGGGGCATGGCCAGACCCAGATCTTAGCCAGCAACTCCGGTACAAGCCTTTAGTAACTCAAATATGCCAGAGGTTAAGGAACATGAAACTCTTGGTGAGGGTTGGAGAGGGGGACCCTCGCTTGCTCCATCCTTCTGAAGCCATCCTTTTGCCAAAACCAGTCTTGAATAAGCCTATAGGTCTGGTGCTGGAGAAGGCCCTCCTTTTGGCAGGATCACCGCTGGCAGCCGCCCCTTCCCATGTGCGTCAAGCCTTGATATTGGGTGCAAAAGATGGAACAGCAGTGCAGGAGGCCACGGCCAAGTTTGTGGGAGGAACTCTGAGAAGAGCTGCTAAAGTCTGGAATGGGCTCACTGTGTCTGAGAAAAGATTGCTGCTGGAATATTTGGCTGGAGATGGGTGTTACCTGGAATTGAAGGATCTGCCACTGCTTCCAACAGCCAATGGACACTATACCTGCTTTGGAGATACTGGAGAGATTGTGTTTGTTGAGACTCCTGACTTTCCCAGGTGAGCAACCTCCCTCTGTGCTGTCCCCCCAATAGTCTAATTCTCTTTTCTCATTCTTCCTCCTTCAGCCCACTGTACCTCCTGAACTGTCTGAATCAAGTGAGACTTGAATCAGATTTAACATCTGCTAAGATAAGTTCAAAATGCTTTAACTATGAAGGGACGCAGAATTTTACTGACTTGTTCTAGAGCAGCTGTAGCTCGGTGTCAGGAGATGCATTTAGAGATGACACACACTAAATCTTTTCGTGAATGTACCATTATTTCCTAAGATACCTTATGTTCTAGGCAAAGAAAATTAAATGGAAAGCTGTGGAACACAGTTGCATCACTTTTCAGTTTGTAAGTGTGCTGCTAGGCCCTTGATAGTCCAGATAGCATGGGAAAATGCATCTGTTTGTCTAGAAAAAGATGAAGATACCATCCAGGGTGATGGATATCATCCAGGGTGGTGGCAGTTAGAGCAGGTGGCAAGTTATTTACCTTGCCTGTTTGGTAAATAAACAAGGTTTCCTTAATGGTTTATGGGCCTGTGTAGTATTTACAACCATAAAATGTATAGGTCCCATTTCCTTGCTCTTCTTGCTCCTTGTAGTTTATTTGTGGATCCTTTCTCTTGGTTTTGCAGAATTCTTTTGCCTGGTTTGGCTCACCAATTCCTGCCCAAAGATCTAAATCCTGTGCTGCTGAACCATTTGCAAGCAATTGCCAAAAGAGGTAAGTTGTTCTCTTTCCCTTATGTGGGCCTCTCAGACATGGGTGTGTAATGGGCTGTGAGAATAACCTTGAGGAACAGGAAGAAGAGCCACAACTAAAACAAAGGCACTGTTGTCTTGGTTGTGACTCTTCATGTTCCTCAAGGTAATTCTCACAGCCCATTACAGGGTGGTTGGGTGCGGCCTTATCTAGGTGACTGCAGCTCCCACCATCTCAGCTGGATATCAGTCGGAGAGGATGGAGTTAACTGAATATATCTGAAGGACAACACAAATGGTTCTTAGTATATCCATGTGGACACAAGGCAGCCAGTTGCCCTGTGAGACAGACAGACTGAAAGATACTATGCCTTAGAAGAATGACAATGACAATGCTCAGCATAGGACATACCTGACTTGCCGGTGCAGCTGAAAGCAGGAAGTCATTCTCCTCCTTGCTGTTTTTAATTCGTGGTTTTGCAAGGCAGAGGGTATGATGAGGATTCATCCCCCCAGGATTTGGGGTTTTCTTCCAGTAGAAAACAAAGGGCAAATGCAACTTCCTCCTGAAGGAAGGAAAAGACCTTCTTTCTGGCAGTTTAGAGCAAGCTAGACATTTTTACTTGTTGCAACAAACTGCCTTCAGAGGTCCTTCAAGTATGTGAGACTGCCAGATCTGCCCTGGATCAGGCATAGTGTGTTAACCTGCATGTAATAATGCTACTCACTGCAAAGTCAGAAAGTGAGCTTCCCAATCAAATGCTGTTTTGAACTTGAATCTCTTTGGTTTTAATTTAATGTTCGAATGACACCTCCACATTCTCTTGTTAGAATCATTAGCTCCAATTAGCTGGAGCAATTGTGTGATCTGAAACCATTCACAGACCTCTGTGATGCAACCTTTAGCACAGACCAATAAATACTTCTGTAACTATTTAGCTCCAACAGAGATGCACAAACATTGGTTTTTGATCCCTGGGTCTTTCTAGGGTTATTCAAAAATCTGGTCTCCTTGAATCAAGCCATCATTGAACAAAAACTTCCTGGAGCTCTCCCGAGAGGCTGGGTGAGCAGCAACTCTGTTCCTGTTACTTGGAGCCCAAGTGGGTACCCCAGCCAACCTCCCCTGGAGTGGCTTTCTACTTTCTGGACTTTTCTGACACACCGTGCTTCTTCCCTGGAACCCTTCAAGGGATGCCCGATAATACCACTAACTTCTCTGACCAGTTCTCTCAATGGCATTCAGTTGGCCCGGCTTTTGCCTCAGTCCACCCTCATGTTCCAGAGGCACGATGGGCGATTCTTGCCAGATGCAGTGGCTAGAATTCTGGAAGTGTTGGGCTGCACCGTGATCCGGAGCTGGGAGTCAAGTTGGTCCCATCACCAACTGAAAGAATACATTCTAGAACCCACACCTAACAATGTCCTGCAAGCTTTTGCCCATCTGGGGGTAGCAAATGTGGCAAGCCATCTGACATCTTTCTCGACCTGCCAGATTGAAAGTCTGAGTGCTTTTCTCTCAACTGCTGCATCATTCTCTCTAAAAGATATTGGAGTCCTCGCTGAATTGCCGCTGTTCTTCAAGATGCCTTCTCTTCTTCCACCTTCCATGCCTGGCTTGGTATCAGCCCAGGACCATTTGGCTTTAGAAAAGACTTTGGTCCCACCAGTGCCTACAGATCTCTTGACACCAGAACCTGTGCTCTTGTGTCGCAATGAAGCTGAACGAAGCTTGCTTTTCAAAATCCGTGGAAAGCTTCTGGGGACGCCAGATCTATGCCTGCTGTGTGTCCGAGCAATGAAGAAGGGGTCATATGCCAATCGGGTTAAGGATGCCAAGCAACTCATGTTGTGGTTATTGCACAATGGAGACACTCTCTTTAGCCAGAGCCGAGAATTACAAGCTTTATGCCGCGATCTTCAATTTGTGGATTGTGGATCAACAGAATTGTTCCGGCCCTGTCATCTCTATGACCCAGAGAACCACACGTTGCTGGCCTTATTAAAACCAAGCCACTTTCCCATAGGCCCCTTTCGAGAGCAAGCAGTGTTGCGAATCCTTCGTACTCTGGGTCTGAAATCCGATCTTAGTGCTGTCTCTCCAGCAGATGCAATAACTGCCGCAAAGGAAGTGAATTTAAGTGAAGCAGCAACGGCCAATGCCAAATCCCGGGCGCTAATCCAGGTTTGCAATGAGAGTCCTCTACTGTCACACTTATCTCCTCAGGAGCTGAAGCAGCTGAGGTCCCTGCCTTGGATCCCTGCCATCAATTTCTCTGTGCTTGGCCCAGCTGGAGTCTTCCTAGCTCCTGTATCAATTCGCTCAGAGAAGTATGCAGGTCTTGTAGGACTGGTCATGGGACTGACAAATGCTTTTTGGCCCCATGCCGCAGAAAAATTGGGTCTGGAATGCTCACCACCTCCACAGAAGGTGATAGAAAACTTAGCTGGCCTGGCACAAGTCGTTTCCTCTAAAGAGATACCAGTGTTAACTGTAAAGTTGCATAGCATCTATGAGTATATGCAACGGCATTTCACCGATTTCCAACATCCACCCACATGCCCTTCAGTGTGGAATGGGAATGGCTTCTCATGGCCAGCAGATGTGGTACTATCCTATCCTAATGACCTAGACCTTGCACTCCTGATGCCACGAGTGCCCCCAGACTTCCAACAGTACAGGCAACTTTTTGCAGCATGGGGTGTCCAGCAGGCACCCAAAGAGGAAGATGTATGCCAGGCGCTCCGTAAGTTGGCAGATCAAATCAACTTCAGGCCCAAAGGGGGTACACAGGCTGAATTACTCCTCTTTGTAGCTGCTTTGGACTGGCTCCGCACTCAAGGTTACCATGGGGAAAAAGAAATACTTATACCTGTGAGGATTGCAGGTTTGGCTGGTTTTGCTCTACGCCCTCCCAGTTCAGCACTGTATTGTGACATGGATCATTCCCGTCTTACTGATCTGGGTGGAGACCTACCCATTTTGGTGCATGAAGCTGTTTCTTCTGCCACAGCTG